CATTGTTTCACCTGATTCTCCTTCCCAATTAATCAATTCCTTATAAGTAGTCCATGGGGTCTCTTTATTCTTACATCTACCAAAAAGAGCAAGTTTGTTTTCTGCTGCTCCAAAGAAAAGGAGATGGAGCAATTCAATCTACGGAGGAAAAGATTCCACTTCAACATAAGAGCTGTTTGACAGTGGAATACTTTGCCTCAGAGTGTGATGAGTATTCTTCTTTGGAGGATTTTTAACATAGGCTGGATACCTATCACTCAGGGGTGCTTTGATTGTGTATTTCTGCATGGCAGGGGGTTGGACTGAATTACCCTTGAGGTCTCTTCCAACTCTTTGATTCTATGATTCTGTGATTTGACCTAATTCTAATGTTGCAATCTCTTTCACAGAAGATGGAAAAGTGCCTGTCTAATTTGGAGATTTGTTTCTGCTTAGAAAAAGAAAGACTTCTCTTGCCAGGAACAACATTGTTTTCCAAAATCTGCTTTAGAAGAAGCACATATGTGTTCCAAATCTGAGACTTGTACTCATTTGTTTGTGTGGGAAGCGTATTTCATCCATATCCTTTTATATCAACTGCTTAGCAGATATCTACTGCTAGAGTTGTTTTCCACTAGTAGGGAAAGGACAATATTTGGAATACATACTGAAGGTTGTCAGTTTCAGGCATTGGGTACTTTCATACAGAGAATGTGAGACTGTGCTTTCATACATAATTGTATTAATGCTTTTCCATGCTAGTAGAAATGCTGTGAATTCCAAAGAGATTCTGAAATAATAATTGCATCTTGTCTAGACTGTGGGGGAAAAAATCCTCTGCCTGGGAAAAATGTATTTTTCATTTGGATTTCGCTTTTGAAATGGGTCTGACTTACAATGGGGAATCTTCTGCTCTACGCCACTTGATGGCTGTTCAGCCTAGCAACCAATCTACTGTAAAGCCAAAGGAGAAAGCAGAAAGGTTATTTAAAATCCCAGTGCTTTGACAGGTTTTCCTGTATTTCCACCTTTTCTGTACAGATCATTTTCTTTGAGACAGAAAGGTTGCCTTCCCATTTGCAATGGTGTGGGGCTCATTTTTAAACCTTTGGCAGTCATACTTTGGGAAACAGAGATCTGTAATGTTCACCCAGTAAGCAGAAAGTGATGCAGCTGGAGAAGGGGTGGATTGCTCCCCACTATGGCTCCCATGGGGGCTGTCAGTTGTTATGCAATGGAGGATTGCTTGGTAGTGTCTGTATTTTGGTAAGGAATGATGTGATAGTTCATGTTTACACTTCATAATGATCCCACTGTTGCTTGGATTATAACAACATATGGCTCAACATAAATATGCAGAAATGCTTTGGTGTGTTATGGACAAACATATTCATTTGAGTTTGGGAATTGAATAGTTGGGTGAATGCAGTCATGCAGAATATGTTTATCAGACTATCCATGTTTATCAGACCATTCCAGATCTTAAAGATAGTGATATCTTTAGTGTTTTAGAAAGTTGAATTTGCAAGAATAGAAACCACTGGTCCACATCAAAGGTAATAAAACTGTTTTGTTAAAGAAACATAAAAATCTGTCTCATACTGAGTTAGACTGCTGTCCATCTGACCCAGTAGTAGTTATTTTGAATGGTGGCATGTGTACAAGCTCTCTGGCAGAGGGGATTCCCATCACTGGCTATTACTGATTGGATTTAACTGAAGGTGCTTGGGAACAACCATAGAGAGATGTGTATGGAAACATGCTTGTTACTGACTTCTACCTTCTTTTATCTTACCCACTTTTTCATGAGAAGAACCTCTGCTTATATTACAGCATAGTAAATTGCCTAGGAATGGACTGCCTTGGAGTGTGGTGGATGCTTCATTTTTGGAGGTTTCTAGACAGCGGTTGGATGGTCAAATATCAAACGTGCTTTAATATGGTGTTTCTGTATGACAGAGAGACTAGGTGGTCCTTGAGGTCCTTACCAACTCTATGATTACCGTATTTTTCGCCATATAAGACACATTTTTCTTCCCAAAAACGAGGGTGGGGAAAATTGGTGCGTCTTATAAGGTGAATATACAGGCCGAGGCTGCAGCTAAAA